ATCTCTCTTGTAAATGAGTCCTCGAGGCTCAATGGGATTACCTGTCTAAATAAAGGTTGAATGAATATTATGGTCATTTATTCTGTATTTTTGCCAGATTATGGTGATTCTGGGGTCGTGATGATGGGGCCCTTGAAGATTGTTGCCCAGGGTACAGCGAAGTGTTAATCTGTGTGTGTGTGTGTGTGTGTATGTGTGTGTATATTTGTGTGTGTATATATATGTGTGTGTGTGTGTGTGTGTGTGTGTGTGTGTATATGTGTGTGTATATTTGTGTGTGTATATATATATATGTGTGTGTATATTTGTGTGTATATATATGTGTGTGTGTGTGTAGTTGTGTGTTTTTGAACCTTATTAAAACTGATCAGGCAGAAGGTCCGAAGCAAACTTCCTGTCTGAACACACGCACAGTCTCGCACACCTGCAGGAGCGTTACTACTCTTATGATGCCTCCCCCCTCCCCTCCCCTCTCCAGCCCCCCCTCCCTCCCTCCACATGGCTCGTGCAGCGGCAGACAGGAGGCACCGCGGCGGCTTGTTGCTGCCGCTGCAGGAGAACCCCGGCGGTACCGGCCCTGCTCACCGGCCCTCGGAGGAGGACTGACCCGGAAACAGGACTCGTTCGTCGGACTGCAGCTCCTCTGACCGTCGGCCTGTCTGAGCGCGTCCGCCCGTCTGGCAGCGAATTGCTGCAGTGCTGTTTTTTTTTTTTTTTCTGCATGTGTGTGCGCGCGCGTGCACGGCGGCGGTGTAAATTTTCCTCCGGACTGAGCTGAGCCCCGGCCCGGAGTCTGATGTCACATGTGCTTGGTCTATGGAGGATGCTGCGGCAGGTGATCCACAGAGGGCTCAAGGCTTCCTTCTACTGGCTGGGCTTGTTCGTCAGCAGACACCCCGTCTTCTTCCTCACCGTCCCCGCCGTGCTCACCATCATCTTCGGCTCCACGGTGCTGAGCCGCTTCCACCCGGAGCGGGACCTGGAGGTGCTGGTGGCTCCGACCCACAGCCTGGCCAAGATCGAGCGCAGCCTGGCCAACAGCCTGTTCCCCATCGACCGCTCCAAGAACAAGCTGTACTCGGACCTGCACACGCCGGGCAGGTACGGCAGGCTCATCCTGCTGGCCCGGTCCGGGGGCAACATCCTGGAGCTGGCCGACCAGGTCCTGCGGGTCCACGAGCAGGTGCTGGACCTGCGCGTCAACTACAAGGGCTTCAACTACACGTTCGCGCACCTGTGCGTGCTGAGCCACCGGGACAAGCGCTGCCTGCTGGATGACATCATTACCATCTTGGAGGACATCCGGCAGGCTGTGCTGTCCAACAGCACCTTCCACAAGGTGCCCCTCAGCTACCCCAACACCACCCTGAAGGTGAGCTGCTGCATGGCTGCCGGCGAACAGCTGGCGCCATCATTTCTCAATGGGGGGGGGGGGGGGGGGGCTGCAGATTGCTGCATCTATCAGCCAGTGGGGGAAGCCTCTCTGTAACACACACACACACACACACACACACACACACACACACACACACACACACACACACAGGGATACCCCAGCCTTTTTGATGCAGTGACTCCCTCTTTCATGGCTGCACATGTATTGTGACATGGCTACCCCCCCCCCCC